ATGGGACTCAGAAATGGGAGTCATTTTCTCATGGAGACATTGCACCTGTGCTCGGAATGACGAGACTATCCCTTGACTGCCTTTTAAACACCCACGCTACTCTACCCTCAAATTACATTTCCTGTGTCCTCACCCAGTGAAATATTTCCACATTCAGAGAACTATAAGGGCTCCGAGCGTACCAGAGAGGGTAGCCTAAAGTCAGTAAAGGAGGGAAGCCAGGAAAAACTGACCAGCAACAGAGGCACAAGCCTTGTCCCCAGGGCACTTGCTGCCTCATGTCACCTAACTTCATGGTCTTCCAGAAGAGAACCTTATACAGTGGGTCTGGCCTGGAATGATGATCCCCAAACTTTTAACAAGAATCAGAATTATCTGGAGGCGTCTTAACAACACAGATTCTCTGACCTCACTCCTGGCAATTCGAATTTGATAGATATGGGTTGAGATGCGGGGATTTAATTCTTAGAAAGCATTGCCAGTTATTCTCTCTCTCTCTCTCTCTCTCTCTCTCTCTCTCTCTCTCTCTCTCTCTCTCTCACGCACACACACACATACACACAGAAACCCAGGGACTACACAGCAAGGATCACAAGCCCAAAAGCTTTTGTTTGCTGATGACTGCAAGAGTCCAATGGTTACCTAGAGGGTGCAGGGGTAAGGGTAAATCGGTACAGGTCTCCACCAAGAGTGGTGGGTGTTCCATGACTTTTCTGGGTATTTGAGAAGAAAGAAACTGAGCAAAGCCTAAAACAAAACAAGGCCACCAGATGACTCCACCGTCACCTCCCAAAGCCATGTGGCTACCATTGGGTAGCTCCCCATCAAAGATAAGGCCTTGGGACCCTGGTCTTCACCATTTGCAACTATGCTCTACTGTATTGTCACAGGCAGCTGAGAATGCAAGCAGCACTGTTTGAGGATGTAAACTATGGGCAAATGAGAAAGGTGCAGATATACCATCTCATCAAGTAAATTAGCTCAATTTTTAATGTGAACTGCCTCATGTCTCTTGCAGGACAGTGTGTGTATGTTGTGGGCAACATGGAGGGAGACTGGCTGAATGGCTAGACAGAAGCAGAGAGATGGACACTAGTAGAGTATGTGCTTCAGAAAACAGCCTGGGTTCAGATCCTAGCTCTCCTATTAGCTGCATGCCCTTGGGCATGTTACTTAAATTTTCTGTGCTTTATTTGCTTCACCTATGTGACTAAAATAACAATAATACCAATTACATGGGGCTATTTTGTATATTGAATGAGATAAATATGTGCAAAACACATTGTAGAATGGCTGGCATGTATTAACTGCATGATAAATGTCCACTCAAAATATTCTTAGTGTCCCAGGAAGGAGCCATCTGATGCACCTAAAGGGTTGACCCTGAGCTTTTCCTGCCCCTTACCCAGACATGTCTGAGTTTCTTTTTGACAACAGATCTCCAGTCACCTTCCAAAGCAGCCCCTTGGTACCTGAACTTCAAGTCTTCCCAGTGGCCACTGCTTTTAGATCTGAGGGTACTCTGTTCTAGTTTTTCCAGAACTGCCCTTCCTTCAACCTCACATCTCTGTTTTTCTTGGTCTCTGTAAAGAAGCCACTGTTTATCTCTCTTGTCACCCTGGGAACTTCAACATTAGGCCTCATGAGAAATCACTCTGTCATACAACAAACCATAAAGTGCTAGTATACCCAAAACCCAATTTAGAAAACCAGACAGGAGAAATTACAAAGTATAAATGATTTGGGAGGTAGAAGACAAGGAACAATAAAAAAGCTTTAAATCCAAAAGTGAACAGACATGACCATAGTGGTAGATACCATGAAATGCAAACCGAAAGGTTGCCTAACTTCTGCTCTTAACAGAATCAGGAGAATTTAACCTATTAGCCATGCCTGATGTTCAGCAAAGCAAAGATGTATTTTTCTCCCAAAGCTACAGTAAGATTATAAGTACAGTAAATACGATTTTCTATTCATTGGTTCATTCAGTTATGTACCACATGTTTATTACACAACTACAATGCCCTGGGCACTGTTCAAGAAACCGGAAATGCCAAAGCACTTGTTTGCCTATTGCACAATCCATAATTAGGAACTTACAAAATTGTCAATAAGTATTTCCATCTGCAATTTTCAGTATCATTCAGTGACTATTGCCACTGAATTCCCGGGTAAGACATGACTTCCTGATTACACACATTCATTTTCTGACAGAGACATTTGATTATATGTGCTGAGCCTAACTTAAACTTTCATCCATATCCCCTCTACCCACCCCAACCTGGAGTTTCACTGTTAAATGTTCCAGATAGTCTTTTTAGTCAGAGATTTGTTTTATTTCATTTAATTGGTAAAATTTTCCATTTTGGTAAATGTACCTAAGTCCATGCAAAAATACACACAAACCCCATTCCAGAGGTAGCAAAAGACTTCATCAAATTCTCTCTTTGGAAATATTTTAACCCTTTTCTCTGAAATCTCATACCACTTAGTTTCTGCAAGACACTCTTGGGCTGCAACTCCCTAAGTCCCAAAAGGCTGTCCAAGTTCTGCAGCTCTGTGTGGATATAGGCATGAGGTTTGGGGTCCTAGAAATCTCTAATAAATGATATTTTGATTATATCATTATTTGTCATGATGGACTTTAAACTCCAATTGAATAATTCATACTCTGATCTTTTTTAAGTTATCAAGATAATTAAGATAATAAACATTGGGTCTGAAAAGAATGTATTCATTTGACTAACCCCAGTATGCTAATTTATCTGCACTCATCAAGCCCAGTGAAGACTTGCTATGTGATGTTTTGGGGGAGCACATGTTACTCTACTTACTAAAAGACTAATATGAGACCCTGGTCACATACAAATCTGTGTAAGCTTATGCACCTGGGACAAAGCTGGTGCTTAAAAATATCAGCTCCTTGATGTCCCTTGACCTTATTATAAAGCTCCTGATGGTTGGGAAGAAATGCCCATGGTAGAAATGCTATATATCCATGTCAACTAGTGCTTTTATGACTCCCTAAAGGCTAAATATTTACAAGAATTTTGATCCCTTTCCACTAGGCAGTTTGGAAACATGGACTTTTGTGTGAAAAATGAAAGAAAGATTCATAGAGGGTAAGGCAGAAAAGTGACTTGTGTATCCCGAAATGCTCACAGTTGGCTTGTAGAATGGTTGGTGAGAAGACACTGTTCGCCCTTGTGTCCCCTTGGCCTCCCTGAGACAGGGCAGCCCAGGTGAGTGCTGAGGTGCCTCAAACCTCATAGCATCACAGAAGGAAACTCAGTGAAGGTGTGCGCCTGGGTTTGCTCCTAATACACTTGGCACTCTTTGAGTTCTGTCTTTGGAAAAATGGGCTTCAATTTCACCTAGGAAATGTGATGTGCTCATCTCAGAGGAGTGAAGGCACTCAAGCAAGAGAAATCGATGGTATCGGCTGCTTTTCCTGGGAGTTTCTGAGGTCAATCAAAAAAGGCAAACTTTTCGGGGCAGGTTTGTCGGGGTAGGGAAGTGGCATTTTACATTATTTCAATTAGCAAAGCAATAAAAATAAGGGTTGATTATTCATGATTATGTAGTATTTCTGGTAATGACTCTATTGAAAAAACTTCACTATTGTCCCAGCGGATCCTGGGTTAGCCCTTACCTTAGAGACCAGCTTGGCATCAGCCGACTCCTGGCTCCAGTGTCAACTGGCATTTCCTGGTCTTTATACGTGATGGTTAATATGCCCAGCACCCTGATAAAGCCATAGGAAAGGTCCATACCAACACCACAATTTCGCTTGCAGAGTTAGAAAATTACTAGATGTTAGTTTGGAAAAGGTCAAGAGGAGCTCTAAACTTGAAAGAGCCTCAGACTCCAGGGAAGCCGATCGGGCCTGAATAGAAGCCCTCCCACTTACTGGAGGTGTAATTTGGGCTCATTATTTTTCCTCCCCACCTCTCTGAGCCTTAACTGTAAAGCAGATAATAATATCTGTCCTGCAACGTTGATAAAGATCTTTTTTTATTTTTAATGTGAAAATCACAGGACATAGCACAGAAAAGGCATTACATATTGGCTGTTCAAACATAATAAAGAATGCAGACTTTACAAAAGATGCTCAGGACCAGGCTAAGTGAAAATAGAGTATTTGAGATCTCAAATACTGTATCTTCAATGTAGCAGATATATTACCAAAATTCCAAATGTGGGGAGATAAAGCAAGATGCAATGCATTTGTTAAAAAGAATTTCACTTATCTTTCAAAATTGTATCCAATTTTTTTCTTGAATTTGCTAAGAAGGTCCTTGATCTACCCATCCCTTTTACCTTTATAAAAGTTTTTTTTTTTTTTTGAGGGGGGGGGCCTTGGTCATTTCCTCACTTTGGAGTCACATACAAAAAAAAACATGCTCTGCAGATATTTCAGCTGACAGCCGAGGACGGTTAATGCTGGCAAGGCTGAAGCTGGCTGAGCAAAAGGCAGTCAGAGGAATGTATCTCCAGAGGCAGATGGGGTAGGTGTGAGGAAGGACAATTAGGTCTGGAGTGCAAGCAGGCAGAGAAGACTGAAAGCTAATCGGTCCAGCAGCTAATGTATACAGAGCTAAGCTTTGCAACGGCCAAGGTTTACACAAGACCCAGGCCAGAAGGAGCCTGCATCCAGGGCTGGGCTAGGGTGAGCGGAGTGATTATCTTCTTGTGCACAAAATTGAAGGGAACATCAAAAATTCAGTAATCGAGGTGAATAATATTTTAACAGGATATTTTTGAAACTAAACTCAATTTCCACCCCAATTCTGGCTCTGAGTGGGGGAAGAGAGTACTGTGTGAAAGCCGAGAGGGTGTCCTTGGGAGCTAAGTGGGGACAAATGGGGACAACTTCTAGAGGGCAGTTTGTAATGCTTTTAGGAATCCCAACACTGAATTATATTCGCAAGTCAATGTAAGAATAATTATTGTAGGTGACAAAAGTAGGCAACAGAGACCACAGGTCTGACATTCTTGTCTTTATTGGTGTGTGTTTGACTCTGAATGATCAGCTACATCACAAATTCCAGTACAACAGATCTCATTTCCAAGTACATGTCTATATAATAAAGAATTTAAAGCTCCATTAATCACTCATACATATGTGTGTGAACAAGCCCTAGAGTTTCTGAACATAGTAAAAGAATGCAAGTCATATTCGAGGCCTCTCTCTTGCACCAAATATGAGAGAGGGAAAGAAAGTGAAGCAGCGTATAGCCATCGACAAAGAATCCCCCAGCCCCCAGGTCATCCTTACCCCAGATCATGGGTGAATCTACTGAAACCAGCAGGAAAGCTGGTGCCCAGCTGTGAGAGGCTCATTGCCTGTGGTGGGGAAGCAGGAGACCTCAGAGAAGGGTCACTGTGTGACTCGGGCTTGGGGCCCATTGGCAGGAGGGTCTCCTTGAGGAGCATGATCCACATCCACCCACACAGGTCCCCGCTTTCCAAAAGTGGGCATACGAAAGCATGGGGACTACATGAATTCATCCACCCCAACTACCCTCTTCCCCATAGCTCTGCCCACACACAGAAGCTTGGTCCTCAGTAACTCAGATCTCTTCAAAAAGACCATTCCCGTGTATCAGCTCTTAGACCCAAATCTGGCTAAGGTCCACTTCAATCAAAAACCTCAGGGTATAAAGTGTAGGAAACAGCAGAGAGTTAACACAAGCCCACAGGAGAAGCATGATTTCCGAAGTGAGTGACAATCTTACTCCCTTTGGTCCTGGGCCATCAGTGCCCTGCCCAAAGCCCAGGGGCTCAGGAATGTAAGACAGAACCAGCCCTCACCAGTATCTTCTAATAAAATGAGTGCCTTCCACTTCCAAAACCAATGCTGGTGAAAGTCGAGGTAGGGTGTAAGGAAAACTAAATCCTTATATGTAAACAGAGGAATTTTATGATCAACTCAAAACAGAAGCTCTTGAGAGGCAAACACCCAAAAAGTGACAGCACAGGGAAAGAAATAGCCCTAAGTAAGGCTCAAGTGGCGATACAGATCTGTGATGCCTTCTGGAGTATCAGGAAGTGGCTGATAGAACTAGGAACTAGGAAGGAATGGGACTATTTCAGATCTTGCAGAGAGGAAATGAGGGAGAATGGCAGAATGAGATTGGCAAAGGAATTTATATTTATGACTCAGAAGTAAAGCCAGGACAGAGGCAACATGAGACTAGGTAGACCAGCTGTACAGGGTGCTCTGTAAGTAGGAGGTAAGAATATGAGTTCTGTCTCTGGGTAACCAGCTAATTTCTCTATTTTTTGGCAAGAGATTGAAGATTGACTTAATTGCGAAAAGTTAACTCTTCAGGAGCAAGGGTGGGGATGAGTATTGGGCATGAGAGTATAAGTAGATTTGAAAATCCATCATCCTTGCAAGAAATCAACCCAGGTGGCTTCTCAGTGGTGCCATCTCTGCTTATTTCAACAAGCAGACATATCATGTAATCTTCACTAGTAAAGATATTTTCTCTAACATAGAGACTAGCTCTTTGGGAATAATTAGATAATGTAGGATTTTATCCTGTCTGCTCTATATCAACCATTTATTGGAACACTGGGAATATGGCACTCAGTCTAAATGCCATCATTATCTAATAATGAGCTTGGATTCCACTATAATACACCCAGAAGGTCAATGGCATGGCTAAATAAATGTGCTAAACAACAGCAACAGAATAAAAAGATATTGATGTCTACCCATATTTATAACATATACAGTAACTGATAAGAATAATATAGACACTAGGCATTAGATTACTGTTTTCTTTCTAGAAATCTATCCTCCTCTCTTTGGTTCAAAATCACACAAATCTAATCTCATAGATCATAGGAATCTATCTGTTCTGAACTCATTTTTAGAATCTGTCAACCCTAATATTACTGTGCAACATACCAACACTAACATATTTTTATATATCATACTATTGATGGAGGTCCTAGTCTAGGCCTAGATGTCTGAGACATCAGAAGAGGAAGTCTTTCATGATGGAAGTCTGGAAAGTGTGGGACAGCCAACTTCATCAAGTTTGTTGGGCATGGCTGAATGACTAAAGGGAGATTCCCATTCAACAGAGGTCCTTGCACAGCCCAGGGATCCTGGATGAAGGCAGCCCTAAGTGTGGAAAACATATCAGATGTGAGCAGTCTGGCCCTTTAAGATCCAGCACACTCAGCAACCTGAAGGGAGCTAGCTGGCGAGGGTGGAGAACTGGAAGACAGAAAGTCATCTACTGCTTCAGGTGAGTAATAAACTACATTTGGGGCCATCAGGAGTGTTTCCCCGAACCAGAGCTCTCAGCCTGCCTTGTGAGAACAAGGAGACTCTTATTTATTGAGTCTTCCAGGCTCCCAACGCAGGTCTCATCTCCCCTATGACGCTCACCATGGGAGAGATGAGCTCCTCTGGATTAGGATCCCTCTAGCCCAGACCTGATGTGGCTGGCCATGTTTGACACCCCCGCTGTCTTACCCCTGTACACCACCAAACAAATCTGAAATCTGAAACTGGCAGTAACTCATCTAGCATGCTTCCTACCCAGCCTGCCCAGTCCAGCCGAGGTAAATCATACTATAGGAATATGAACAAAGCCCAGCACAAATAGAGGCAAAAGGACAAAAACAGTTAGACTTTATATCACAGGAGAGTAAGAAGACATTCACAAGACTAAAAAGTCACATATATTCAAATGATATCAGTGGTTGACTCTAACTTGGAATTACAAGTGTTTTTTTATTTCATTTTTGCTTCTTGTGTTTTTCAAATTCCTTTTTACAACCTATATTATTTATTTTCACTTTGAACTATCTTATTTTAGGACACTGAAAGGCATTTTGGGCAGTTACAACTTAATTCTGCCTTATTCAGAAACCACCAGGCCTAAATCAACCAGGGTGACCAACACCCTGCGGTTTGCCTAGGACTGTCTTGGTTTCCAATCTCAAAGTTTTGTATCCTAGGACCCTGCTCAGTCCTGGTGCTCACTGTAATACTGACATTCCCTTTTCCTTTAGGCCACAAGTACTGCCTTCTGATCTTCTCCTCCCTCAGAGAGGTCAAGCATTCAGAAACACACAGCATTCACAGCAAAGGGTCCAGCTGAGGGAGGGCAGCATGAATCTGGGAATCCCACCTAGCAACTGAGCCTGAACAAGATTGCCTTTGTACTTGGCTACCGGGTTGAGTAGTAAGAAGTAGTTCTTTCACTAATCCTTTTCTGTCCATGAAATGGAGCAAATTCATCTTACCTGCCTTTCACAAGAAGTGACAACCACCAAGAGAAGGACCTCTCAAACAAAGGACCGCAACATCAATGAGTACAAAGGGCACCAGGCCTGCCCTTTACCCGGAGAGCTGGCATGATCACTAACCTAAGAAGGCTGACCATGGTGGGTTACTCTCAAGCTGGCAGAATTGGCAAAGACAGAGAAAGCCTGCACTTCACAAGGAAAAACCTGCTCTCTGTTACAATAGCTGCCATAAAGCTTTGAGTGTCATATCCAAGAAAACTCCCATCCTACCATCCCTACTTAACCGTAGAGAGCTCTCAATCACTCAAAGCATCTGGACCTTCTCAGCAACATAAGAGGCTCCTCTGCATTTGTGTTGCTGAGCTGGTCCTAGTCAGCAATCTGCTGGCATGCGCAAGGGTGACCAAGTAGAAATGAAAATGGGGGTGCAGCTTGATTAGGTTCATCCTGCAGGTACCCACACTGCAGTCAGGCTGGGCCTTGGGAAATGCTCAGAATGAATACATTAGGATCCTGCATCTGCTCACATGCTTCTAGCACAACACTGATGATTTGGTGAAATTGGACTGAAATGTCTGTGTGGGGGATGCATAATTCCACCTTGGTTGGCCAATGATGAGGAAGCAGAGTCAGTTCTCAGAATATCACTAAGTGTCTCCCCAAACTAATTCATAATCATTTTTCCTTTTCAGCTGTTAAATGTGGGATTGGAGTGGTTTCTCTAGGAGGTCTAGGTATCCTGTATTTGGGTGGTATTTCTGTTTTGATGAAGTAATATCACCCAGTGGTCCAATGCTTATAAAGTGATGGCTCTTATTTTACCCAGTTGTAAATGTGTTTGAAACTGGTTTGCTAACAATCATTCATTTCAGTGGCTTACATTTCACATGTAATTATGCAGCATATATTCATTTCATGGGGACTCAGGTTGCTTTTTGAAGCATTATTTGAGAGCTTCTTACCATCTCCTCTGGAGTTTAGAAGAGACCATAATATCAAGCTGTCATAGCTAGCAATGGGGGACTATGGCACCAAGAGGGAGAAACAGTGGGACCTACAGAATTCCAGCAATGTGCCATGAAGACCCCATGGGACAGCTTGTCAACCAGTGTGCCATAAATGAAGCAATTGCTAAGGATCCTGAAATGACTGCATTCTCTTTGTCCTAACCTTCATGCTGGATGGAATGGACTTAGCTTATTTTTAAAGTACAGGCCATAGCCTTCAAAGGGACATTAACAGTTCCCAAAGCAGCTATTATTTGGCCAATTAAATACTTAGAAGAAAATAATATACTTTTGAAAGACAAAATTAATAGGCAAAGGAGAGAGGAAATTGCTAAAGCAATTGTTTCTAGCTGTTTGTAAATTGTGTCCCTGGACCATCAAAATGGACCATAGGCAGAGGCTGAGCTACAGTTTGAAGATTAACTCGGGTAACTCTCAGGGCCCTCATCTTCTGATCTAATGAGCTCCCAGGGTCCTGAATGCAATTCAAAATGTTTGTTCATGTGTTCAAAGTAACATTGCAAATATGTTCAAAACCCCCTGCTGTTCTGTGAAAAATATTGCCTCTGTTCCTCCCCTTGTTGGCAACACAATGAGTGGTGTGGTATGGCAGTTAAGGGAAACAGAAGGGATGCCCCAGTGATCTTTCCAACTATAGTTAAAATGTCTCCCCTCTTCATTACATATAGCTGGTCTATGAATCTGTGCTTATCTACCTAATTGCCTAATAAGCATGTAACCAGTGGGAAAATACACACGTGTGAACTCTAACAGCAGGGGAGGTATGGCACACTCTGCAGGAAGTCAGTAAATATCCAGGTCACTGGAAATGGAATCAAAATGGAAAACACATCAGAATTCTTTATATGCATCTGCCCCAGGGAGTTACTAGCCGTAGGTAAACACAGAAGGCATGAGCTGCAAGGACAAACACCTGAAGCTCATATTGAGCAACAAGTCCAATTTAATTTAGGCCCTACGCTTAAGACCCGAGTGAATTTACAAGGCTGCTCTAGGAAAGAGGCAAGAGATAACAATACATCTGTGACATCTGCAGGGGAGGCTATAATGCATTCCCACCCTTCAAGAGAACCCAAGATTGATGATTCGGGGATTTTGCTGGTTAGTGTTTCTGTCTTTCTGTCTTTCTTTTTTTTTTCAGCTGAGAAGGTATGTTTCCATTGTACCCTGTCAAAAAATGTTCTCAGCAGTCAAGGCAAGGATAGCAGTGCAGCTGCCCTTGAGCCAAATTTGTAAATCCTAATGGGAAACCACCCCGTGCTGTCTCAGATGACGTGGTTTTCAGGCACGCTACACAGACTAGATGAATTAAAGACCACCTCCAGCCTTGATGTTGCTGAGCTCCTCAGCTCCATCTTGCCATGCTGATTGATCGAGGAGATGGGTCTATAGTTAAAGTGGCACTGCACTTTAAGGCTTAGTCATAGAGCACTCTGCTTTCTCTTTGGAAGGCACCTTCTTGCTTGGCTAGGTTATGGAAGCTAAGGAGTGACGTCAAGATGTTGTCTGGCCAGAATTTTCAGATAACCATAGAACTCTTCTCCTCCATCAGGCATGGATTTAGCCTCCTTTAGTTCCTGCAGTGACACAGGAGCCTCCAAATACCAAATTATTATCAGGCGGTCTTGGGGGAACCTCTGGGCCCTGCAATAAAGTAGACAGACTTGCTATTGGAAAGTGCTTGGGAGTAATTCAGCCCTGCTCAGATTGCTCTAAAGTCCTGCAAACCATCTCTGGGCTTTGTAAATGAAAACCTCACAGAGCTCCTGAGAGTGAAAAGGTACTTTGGGGGACATAATTGGTCATCATCCTTCACTTAAATGATCTTAATCATCATTTACAGGAATCTGTTTTGATTGTTTTGTTTTTAAGGCAAAGGCTTTATAAACAGCCTCCATACATAAAAGTATGGAGGCTGTGTCATTTTGGACAAGTCACTTCTGAGCCCTGTCTGTAAAATAAGATGTTTGTATTAATTGATTTTTAAGGTCTAACTCAGGGGTCACAAACAGGTGGTGGACTACAGACCAAATATAACTCGTTCTGATATAATTTATTGATCCCACCCAGTGTTTTATATCTTGGAGAATTCACATAATTAATAAATGCCTGTGCTTCCTGGAAAAATGTGAGTATTTGGTAATACAAGGCCCATGTTCCAGCATGCCCTTCACAATGTCATATCATCGTTCTGATCCAGCTTCCTTCTTATGCTGACCTGGCTGACTCTGTAGGTAGTTGGGGTTTAGGACCCTTGCTCTAAGCTACCTTATCACAGTGCATTGTGATTACATGATGAGAACTTTAATGACTGACCTCCCCAACAGGACTCTCTGAAGGCAAGGAAGATGCCATCAATATAACCAAATCTTTAGTTCCTACCATGGTAGAGCTATTGTAGGCAGTTAGCAAATACCTAATGAAATGAACTTCACTTTCTATATTAGATTCTTAAAATTCAGTGAAATAAGGCTGAGACCACTCTTTGTAAGGTCACATGTATATTTGAAAGCCAACAGCTTTGAATAGCAAGTAGATATAAGAAGGAGAATTAATATGTTCTTTTGTGGTCCAAGCCTCTGATGGTTCCAGAAATTAGTACTGTACTGTCCATAGGATATTTTGCTTTAAGCATATGGGGAAATATTATATACTATACTTTTCTGAGGTCTTTATGTATTTGTTTTTTAGCTGTAATCTACCCAACTTCTTGGAAAAACCTTTCTTTAGAGGTTCTTTAGAGGTTAGTTTATAAAAATATTCAATGGGACTCACTTAATTGAAAGCTAAGCTCCCAAAATTTCAGTCAGCCTATACCAACAGAGTCTTCTACATATCATGTCTTTTTACTTGAAGTCTTTCAATTTCTGGATGATTACAGTTAGGATGTTCAAAGAAGGGATTTCTTGTTAAAAGTTTATTTCTGTTAAGTCTGTTGTCTAAATGTGTTTAAACTGGCTACATATTGATAAAAACAAGTCTAACAAATAAACTACTATGTAGGCAAGTTTAATAGGAATAGTGCCAGTGAAGTGGCTATGAGTCTTCTTTACTTGTTACAAGTCTGTTAATAATTAATACTTCAGTAATACATAGCCACATCTGGTTGGCACCTGGCCAACATCAGAAATACATCATGTCCCATGCTATGAAAGACTAGTTCAGCAGATACAATTCCTTCTCTCCAGGAGCTTACAATCTAAGCTAAACAAGGCTTCAGAAACACACACAAGAGTGATCACACTCAGGACTAAACAAGAAACGACAGATACAATGAAGATAAAGGAAAAAATTGTAAGGTAGAGAATGACATTTAAGAAAGGGAGAAGAGAAGGAGAGAAGTAAATTGCTAAATTGCTTCTTCATTCCCATTTCTCTGGGAAAGGATTCTTGGAAGGTGTATGATTTTAAGTATTCTTAAGATCATGTAAGAGCCCAGGCTTGATGCCTGGAAGAAAGGAAATTTCCTTTGCTATAAGCTGCTGAGTGACTGAGAACATGGAACCTGGCAAGGATGGCTGGGTGAAGGGTCTAGCAAGACTTATAAGGGAGGTAGGACCCAATGGATAATTGACGGTCTGGATCCCACTGGCAGAGGACAGAAGCTGAGGGGAGGCTTCAGGGCTCCTCAGCTCTCCTCCAATTCCCGTAAGTGGTGGTGGCATAAAAGAAGTAGCTGAGCCACAAAATCAAGATTCCTCCAAAATAACCAAAATGTCTAATTAAAAACCTTTGAAAAAATCTTCATGGACTCTAGATTAAGGAAACCACCTTTGGAAACATTCTTGTGGGATTTCTAAGGAAGGAAGCACAACCAGATAGAACCACAGGCTCAGCATCCATCTAGACCACTTTCTTCTATAGGCTGTCCTCTGGTTTCTATTGTTTTTTGGTTTGCTTTCTTGCTCATTGTTCATCTTCTCTTATTGCACTTGTTGGACTGATGCAATCTACTTGATTACTCAGTTTTATCCTTCCTCTATGGACAAAGGAGAGCAAACTTTTGAAGACAGGTTGATTTGCAGTCAACCTCAATTATAATACAGCCCCAGGCTAGCTGAAGTATCCCATATAGCCTAGTACTAGTGGTGACAGGGATGTTGAAGTACTCTGTTCTTGGGGAGAGCAATCAAAATGATGACCAGTTCTCCCATGGCCAGTTCTCCCATTGTAATATCCTGCTTTGCCTTATTCAATATTTGACTGTTATGCATCAGGGTATTTCAAAGATCTTTGGAGAATGCTTATTTCAACAAAGAATGCCCATTTTAAGCAAAGCCTCCATGTATTTTGTTCACACCATAATGACAATTAGTAATACCTTGATTTCAAACAATAACTTTTTATTTCAAGGAGCTCAATATTTTTTACATATGCTATTTTACTTATCTTATCGTATTACATATTCAACTGAAATCTATGGTGGGGTCCAACTCATACATTCCAAACTTATAATACTGTTCTTCCAAATGTTTAAATTCAAATTCAATATTAAACGTACCTTGGGATAAATTTGAATCAACAGGAGGAAATTTCAGGCATTTCTTTATATATGAAAAGAAGATCATTGATAATTTCCTTTATCCCATGAGAGTTATCAGTGTAAAATCAGAGCCCAAAGCCTAATCTTGTTATAGATCTACCTTATTTCTTTGGCAAAGCAGGAGAACAGTATTTAAGATGGGATAAGAACAGGCAAAATAGAATAAGCCTATTCATCAATATCAGGCGAACCCCTCACCTGGACCACCTGATGTTCTAGCCTTCACAGCTACTTATTCATGTGTGAGGGCAGGCCTGAAGTTCCAATGGCATAAACCTGTTGGTCCACTGTGATTTTATTTTTTGTTGTCCTTGAGGCTGCGCTTCATTTTTCTTTTTTTTTAAATTTGGACAGTGGCTCCAAAGATTGGGTTTGAGTCTCTCAGAAAAATCCCAAGCTTCCCAACAAAGGTTGATAGGTTAATTTGGTTCTGAGAAACATATCAGTGTTATTAACATTTACATCATCTGTTGTGATGTTCTTTGCTCTTGTGACATCCCAAGTCTCATGCTGGGAACTGGTACTGAACAAAGAATGCAGAACTATCTGGAGTTAACCACCTGTGTGCAGTACAGCCCTTTCCTGACTACCTATGGTATGTATTTTAATGACTTTTAATAAACCAAATTTAAATCCCACCAAATGCCTGTCTTCTGTAACTGATGTATGTGCATTTCTAATGATATTTCTGGTTTCTGTCTCCATCTTTTTCAAGATAAGCATGCCTTGATTCTATTTCAAGTTGACAAATGGTTTTGGAAAATGTATCCCAAGAGAAATCAGTATCTGCACACAGAGTTCCAACCCCAGCAGGAGACACACCCAGAGAATTCCATAAGTAACAAACTAAAGGAACTATCCCTTGGGCCCAAAGCCCAAAGAATCCTCAGACATTTCACTGCCCCTCCCTTCAGTCATCCTTGTCAGGCACTCTGATAAACATGCTGGTTGATACAGCTATGCAGCAAATGGGCCAATAAGTATTAACAGCTGTACTTACATGTGTCTGGCTTGAGCTGACTGTTGGTGATGCCAAAGTACTGGGGATTTTCAATGACAGGGATCTTGGTCATTCCAATAATGACGGCATCGGGGCCCCCCTCTGAAGATGATGGGGTGTTACTCCCATTGGAGATATGGTGGAGTGGGCTGGCAGAGTCATCATCATTGCTGATAACTGAAGCTGGGCCTGGAGTTGAAAAAAATACATATTCTCTTGTAATTTCTATATGCGCTTGCTGAGCTATAATTCACATACATAAATTTCACTCATTTAAAGTATATAATTGGTGTATTCAGAGAACTGTGCAACCATTATTACAAAAGCATTTTAGGAGATTTTCTCCATTGCGATTAGCAGTCACTCCCCATGCTCCCTACTCCCAGGCCTAGGCATCCATAAATTTACTTTCTGTCTCTATGTATTCACCTCTTCTCAACATTTCATGTAAATGAAATCATATGATGGAACAGATGCCTTTCACTTAGCATAATGTTTATAAGGTAGCATGTGTCATTACTTTATTCTTTTTTATTGCCAAATCATATTCCATTGTATGGATATGCTACATTTTGTGAATATATTCATCAATTTGATGGACATTTGGGCTGCTTCAGTTTTTTGATTATTATGAATAATGCTTCTTTGAGCATTCTTGTTCAAGTGTTTGTGTGGACATATATTTTGATTTCTTTTGGATGAAATTGCTGGGTCCTATGGTAGCTCAATGTTTAATATTTTGAGGAACTGCCGAACTGTTTTCCAAAGTGGCTGCACCATTTTATATTCCCACCAGCACTGTGTGAGGGTTCCAATTTCTTTACTTCCTTGTCCTGTAATTACATATGCAGCTTTCCACTCTGTTTTCTGAACATCTTTAGAACACCCTCTCATGGAAACTCCCAGCATGAATCTAGGCTTCCTCTTTCACAGTGTCCTGAAAGATCTACTGAGAATTCAAAGATCTGAGTTATTTTCTCCACTCTATGGACAAGTCACTTACCTTCTTTGTACCTCTACATTCACTTACATTGGTAAAATGTGCAAAATGATATCTGGTTGGTTATTTTATGATCCTGGAATGAGACTACTATATGAAAATGCATTTATAAATTTAAATGTGCTTCATGAGTATGAATTACTACTAGCTACTACTAAATGAGCTTACAAGAGGTGGACTAGAATTACATTGGACTGTCCTATTACTCTTTCCTCTTTCTGTATATTTTTTACAGCAGCTGCTCCAGTTCTGCCTACAAAATACTTTCACAAACAGTAATGGATCGATCCCATGGCAAAGTCACCTGTCTTGCCTTTAGCCATTATATTATTTGTGGAGTCATTCCCTGTATGTCTTTATCCTAAAGTCACAACCATAGCATTTTCCTAGTTCAGAATTTCAGAAGGTGTATGCTCACAAATATGGTCTACTGTGTCTTGTCTAAACAATTTATCCCATTGACCACTGAGCCCATACGGTTTGCCAACAAAAACTGACTCACAAAGATAACAGTCTATATGAAAGCTTCAAAGCAATTAAGAACTCGGTGGTTCATGATAGATACTCCTTCCATGAGAAGTAGACAAAGTACCCTACAAAGAGCTTACACAGTGTAAGATGCAGTATACAGAATGGGGACAGGGTCCATGGAAGCTGACCACTGACCACAGCTACTGGCAGAAGCCAAGAGGAATACAGGAAGGGAAGGATAAGGAGGAAAGACAAAGGGGAGGTAGTGAGAAGACCTAGTAGATGCATACTAGAGAAAGAAAAGTCTGAATTGCTACTTCTTGAGCAAGGGGATATTTTCATCCAAAGCCCCAGGATGCATGTTTCAACACTGCCTTCCATTTTCTAACTCTTCACTCCCACTTAACTATGTCAGTGAGAAGCATGCAATTCTAAAAACAAAAGTTACTGTGCCATGCATTTCTGAATCCCCTGTGAAATAAAATGGGAATCCATCCCCCAACCTCCAAGATCCAGTTTCCCCCTCATACAGGAATTATCATTCTGTAGTGATAACAATTGGACATTCCCTAGCTAGCTGAATCTTAAACAAACTATGCAAGAGGCAGCCAACTGCTATTATAGGTAATTTTTAAAGCATCCTCTCAAGGGGATGTGCATTTAAGTTGCCTTTAATGATACACTCTGGCTTAATTCTGCAAACAAGTCCTCACACAGCCAATTTAGAAGCTGCAGAACACTCAAAGCAAAGGAAAGCCAGTTGTGCTCATCTTAGGCTCAGCTCACTAGTGTTAGTGAAGAGTGGAAATTCTGCCAAGATAAGCTATAAAGACAAGTTCTTTCTAGTATCCTTAACCATCCCTGTTTCATGATCTACTTCCTGACAGACCTGAATCACCCAGAGCTGGAACCTGGAGATGGAAAATGGAAGTGTGCAATGCTAAGGTTTCTGCTTCTTGCCAGTAACATCTTCCGGCTGCTGGCTCCCTCCCTGTGTTCCCAGTGCAGCTGTTCCCTCCTTGGCGGTCACCAAAGCATGCTACCCACCCTGAGTTCCCTGAGGAGATGCAATCAAGGCCACACATTTCTCAACAGCTTCCAGGCTGCACGTTTATCCCCAGAAATGCAGTGCAGTCATGTTCACATACTCAGTGATATTTGCTTCTAGAGCCCCTGCAACAATTGGAAACACACTGACCCATTGCTTCCTGCTCTGATTCTCCTTTGACCCAAGTCAGGCTATCAACATTTCCGTAGCACTTCATCATCTCAGAGGAAGTTCATACCTAGAAGACAACGTTTTGATCCCTCCAGGAATTTAGGCTTTGAACCATCGGCTGTGCACACAGCAGACCCCTTACTTACAGAGTTCAACCCAGAGACTTGCTCCTAGCTTCTCTTCCTCCACCAAAGGCCACCCTTTCCTTTCCTTGGCCTCTCTGAGTAAAGCCCCCAACTCTGAGGTAACAGACTCTAGGGGAACATCTCTGTTTGGGAGTGGTGGGGGGAAATACAAGCATAAAAGCCGTCTAAGGCAGCAGAGGTAATTTTTCAAAGGCCTCTTCACTTTGCCAGAAGGTCGCTGTTGACAAATCTGAGCAACATAGAAACCTCAACAATTTGTCAAGTGGAATATTAATTCACATGCCATTTTCTTCATTATTGATGTTCCCAATCCTAGAAGATGGATATGGCTGGCAAGGTTGTAGGGATTCAGCCCATTTTTCTATGAACATTTTGATCTAATGGAACACAGCAAGGCTGGGAAGGGAGAAAAGCTCTCAGCAGGGACAATGAATGTCTATATAATTTGACAGCAGCCTGTCTGTGCACATCACGGGATGTGTCATTTCTGTGCACATGCTGGAGGAGACACCACAAAGAGACAGACAGAAGAAGAGTCAGGGCACATTGCCATGTGTTTTAAGAAATTCATATGAGGACTTGAAAAAGTTGTCTTATTATATTAATAAAAAGTTTTAAATTGCCGGGTATGTGCAACTTGCTGAGTTTGCGGTAGATAGTTCTAATTACTGAGCTGACACATATGAGCTCTCCTGGAAACATTTTTAGCCCATTTTTATTTGAAAAGGTTGCAGGAGCAAAGACGCATTTTTGTTTTAACAGAGCCACTTGGTAACGCATCCCACATCTATGACTTTACAGACGTCTCTATGCCTAACCTAGACTTATTTTCCCGTCAAACAGTGAAGGTCATCTGGGGAAGGAGTTTCCTCCTCTCAAGACCCTCAGTACCTTCAAGGTGAAGGGAGAGATTGTTGTTCTTGAGGAACTGTATGAACCATGTCTTCTCTTTCCCATACTCTGATGCTCCATCAGCTAGGGACTTGCTGGCCCAGGAAGTAACACCCATCCCCAGGTTAGCCAGTTCCTAGAGAGAATAAAGAACTTGCCTGCCAGAGCACCTTTTATATGCAAAGCAACTGACCCACAGTCTACACCCCTTTATCAGGCTATCATACTTCAGGTTACCATCCACCTGACCTCTCACCCCAGAGACAGGTACCAAACAAGCAGGGACAGCCCCTACACCCCTGAGCCTGCCGATGTCATCCAAACCAGCCCATCCCAGACCTGCTCACCCTGCCTCCCCCTTCCTTTCCTTTGGAAGCCGCATGAAGGCTCTTGCCTATGGTCTCCCCTCACTCCCTCTGCCTCCTGATGACCCTGGTGCCTCCCCGTGTGCCCCCACAGTGGTGTGGCATGCCCTCGTCTCTCGGGAACTGTGAATAACTGACTACCTTTTGAATGGCAGTCTTCTCCTGACCTATTGGCCTCACCATACCTGAATAAGAATAAAACCCACAATTTAATGCAGCAGCATCTCTGAATGGAATGTAGCTGAAAGCACAATTCTGAAGAAGAATTCTTTCTGCTGTGGCCGAAAAGAGTGAAACCCTGTTTTGGAAGCACCTCTCAGCAGGGCAGATCGGCCTGGAAAATGTTTAAGTGGTTAGAGCAATTAGCTATTTAGTGGAAGGAAGCCTCCATCCACCACACACACACACACACACACACACACACACACAGAGGCAGAGCAAAGAGACTTAAAGCAGGACACCGTTAAGACTGCCCAGTAGGACACTCTCTGGAATCTTGGCAAAGTGACTGTGATGAGATGTACCTGAAATGTGCCCCCTGGGAGTCCCAACAAATCCTGAGCTGTTGAGCTTAATGTTCCATCGTGGCCACATCTTGACTCTCCCTTTACTGGTTAAGAGCTATTATCCTTGAATTCATGAGGATAGTTAAGGGTCAGGGCAACTGATTATCCGGCATAAAAATGGAAAGGGAGCAGGGTTCCTTGTGTGGATGGGATGAGGAAGAGGGCTCAGAACGAGAAGGCTCCGCGACACGGGGATACTTCCCCCACTCTGCAATTTCCCCCAGAGCCGACCTTGCTACCAAAACAAATACACAGATGCCTAAGATGGCCAGATCTTGGAAAAGCACGTGCAAGATGTGAGACAGTCTCCCTTTTCATCCCTTCTAAGCAATTCCTGCTCATTGTCTCAGTACCCACAGAACATACTGAATGAATTGGAGGTCCCGGGAGATCACACCTGATCTCAATGCCGGTGATGAGATACATTATGTGCACTCATCTGGTATGCGACAAACTCTGCTTTTCAATTGTCAGCACACAGTCTGAATGCAAGGAATAGAATGCAATCAAGCACAAATCACAGTGTCTGGACGTTAGAGTCTTGTTTTGAAAGAGAAATGGTCGTAAATGAACAGCTGATTTACCAATTCAGAAATTTAATACATCTTGGCCAATGGAAAAAAGTTAAGATGCAAAATTGTCCAGACTCCACTATTCAGTTAACTTTGCTGTACATAGAGTCAGAATGATGTTGCACTTTATTTCCTGAACCTTCTTAAAAGCACAGTAACAATCTAGACCAGAGATGACAGTTGACACTTCCCCATAAGATAAAAAACAAGTTGACTTCAAAAATATAAAACCATTTACTAAACTCAGTTAGCAAAAGGAATGCCTTTTCTGGAAAAAAATTCTAGTCCTCTCTTCAGCAAATCAGAAACAAGGAACATGGGAAATGAACCAAGGGCCAAGTATAAAGAGGGTCTAAGCAGTTTCATCCGACTTAAACAACACAAACTCATTACTTATCTAAAGAAGGAGGGAGTTAACTACTTACCAACACCTTGTCTTGATTTTACTTTCCCAAATCCAAACCATGAGAAATCTGAAAACCACAATAAAACATAAAATAAACTTCGAAAGAGAAGTGTAAACCAGAGGTATTTAGCACTGTCCTTAGTGAATAACCAACTCCCTCAAAAAGCTCTTTCGGGACCAGAGCTACCTCTTGACCTGGAAACTAACACTTGGACTTCTGTGTAAAGATTCATTTCTCATTCTGAGAACATGCAGGCTCAAATCAGGCAAGAGGCAGCAGCCTGTCTTCAAGAAAAATAGCCAATAGCCAGGGTTAATGGCTCTGAGCAGCTTTCTTTCTTTCTCACTTTCTTCTTTCCAGGTATTGAATCATGTAACAGGAAGGCAGCAGGGGCAAAAACACAAACAGTGCATTTGACAAATGCACATGGTTCTGAACTGTAGCAATGTGCAGGAATAATAACAGAAACAGACCTTTTGTGAAGCTGAGACAAGTACTGAAAAAAAGGAACATGAAATCCTGTGGGTTAACTGATCCTTGGGCTAATGTGGATTCAAGAAGAGAAAAGGGGATCTTCATTTTTCTTGGATTCCACTACTCCTGTGCGGTGTGACTCTGGACAGCTCGCAGAGGCTCTGTGCCTTATAACGCAAGCCTCAACCAGGCATGTAGAGGAAAGATCGGCCAAATGTTTGGGGGTCCTCTGGTGAATAAAGCCACAGTGAAATGCCTATTTTTGTCCTGGGTCCCACTGTTCCCTACTAGGTAATTTCCACTGGGTTCAAAGTGAATTCTACACAGAGGGGAAATCCTTGGATACCAGATGGATAAAAGGGGTGGAGCCCAAATAAGAAACTGTGTTTCTGAGCTCCTCTTTCCAGTCTAAGTTTAGCCTTTGCTCCCTTGATATCCTACAACTTCAACTCTCCAAATTCTAAACTGATTTTTATTCTTGATGGATACTCTTTTGAATGCTTTCCTGCAGGTTTTAGAAGATGAGATGAAGTTCTGGCCTCTAGCCAATGCCCAAATAAAGATTCCTTGCCCTGAAGACAGTGAACCTCATTCACTGGGTCTTCAGTCTGGCAAAGCAGGCCTGTGCCTGTGGCTTTCTTAGTTACAACTAACCTCTTTCAAAATGAGCCTATTTTCCTACTGGTCAATTTTTGTTTTTCTGTATTTGTTTGATTTGCATAGTTTTAATTAAAGAGTAGATTGAATTTGTAAAGATTGTTTTTTTTCCCTTGAGCATGTTTTCAAAGTCCTGTTTCTGACCTACAGAGAAGCCCCTGAAGGACCACGCCACAGCAGCCCCTCCCTGATTACACATTCAGATTGCTGTCAGTTATTCACTGTAACAAATACAACCACATTGAACATTTTTACACATCTTCAGGTGCTCCAATCCCATTTTGAAAAATCTTTCCCTCTAGATAAATTCTAGAAATGAAATAAGTGGGTCAAAAGAGATGAATATTTTAAAGTTCTCTGTACATGTAACCCAGTTGTTTTCCCACTGTGTCTGGTCGTATTCTCACCAACAGTGTCTCCAAGGGTAGGAGTGTCTTTTCCATCTTCGCCCAATGGGAAATCTAAAGTTGAACTATTTCCTACTCTCATCCTGCCATTGCTGTCCCCACCTAACTGAACAGAGACCTGGCAAATACCCTCTTCTATCTTTGCCACAGGAAACTCCTCGCACCCCACGTCTCCTAGTCTGGAGTTTGGCACAGATGCAGTAAAAGAAACCCACCGAGATGAAAAAAGCCAGAACCCCTTTTAATTCACCAAGTGCCCCAACCACCCCACAAACCTGCCCCTTAGTCCTCAGCCAAATCCTCTAACATATTATCCTCTGTTTATTGACAAGGAATTGGGACTCAGAGAGGCTATGACAGACTTAGTCACTCACAGCTTGCCGTGACTGCGCAGAACCTCAGCCTTTTGAGTGCCAAATCCAGAGTTTTCATTCCTTCATAGGTGCCTTACCCATCTTACAAAATACTTAGCCAAAATCAGCCAAAGTTGCCAGCATTAGAATCAGGATTCAGTGTTGTATACAGAAAAGCACTATAAGTAGTTATTCTCATTCATATATTCAACAGGCATAGCAGTGGATTCTAAGAGAAATGAGCTGCACAACCTCCCCGCAAGGGGCTGACAACTGAGGGTTAGCTATGGGAGTGTGTCTAGGCATTTGCCCCAGTCTAGATGAGGTGGGTCAAGAGAGGGTTCTCTGGCTTCTGAATAACAGATTAGAATAAGCCAAGAATGGAGAAAAGCAGAGGGGACATTTGCACTGAAAGCAGTCCAGCGGTGGCTAGCCTGGGCAGCTCGGCATATGCCGTGGGCTGACATAGCTAGGAAGGCAACAAACTGAGAAACAGAAGCAAGGGCCAGGCTGGAAGCTTGGGCTTTATAAAGAAAATTGCAGGTAGGCCCTAAAACAAAACAAAACAACCAGATCCTCAGGTAGGGCAGTAAAATGATCACAATTAATTTTAGAAAAATCGTTTTGGCTGCAGTGTGGAAATAGGATTATGAGAGGGTAAGACTGGTCAAGGAGGCTTTGAGAGATAACAGCGCCTGGAAGAACTGTGGCCTGAACCTGGGACTGGGGAGATGAGGCAGGGAAAAGAGGGAGATGTCTGTCAGGCATATTTAGGGGAACCAAAGGTGTGATAATTGATGGCACGTTCAGGGGAGTATGGGAGGTGAGCAAGGAATGTTTTGGGTGTGGACAATGAGACATATGGTGTTGCTACCCATAGTGTCTCCAAGAAACAGGCATAAGGGTTAAACTCAGAGTGTGGGTATAGGGCACAAACCCAGATAAGGTGTCTCTGCAGAAAAAATGTAAGGTGGAACCATTCAGCGTTGAGACCTCAGGTCTGGAGCTCACTACACGGATATAATGCATAAAGAAGCAGATTCACCCAAGTTCTAGAGCCCAGGGTTTAAGTGGAAAATGGAAGCTAGATGCCGTACCTGAGACACATTTCTGATTTGTGCACATAAAACACCTTTTTTTGCAAGTACACAATAAAGGACAACCAACATCAGCTAGCTTTTGACAAACTTCACACTAAATTGCTTAAACATTTCTAAGTTCACTTTAACAGTAACAAAATTATTACCTAAGAGGGAATGCAGCCTAATGACCATACCCTGATGGAAAACGTAGCAGACCAGATAGAGCAAGTTTCCACTGGTACCTCCCCCCACCCGGAAGCTGTCCCTCATTTGGCAGGTATCCCTTGATGGATTTAATCAGTAGTCTGAAAACCTTAATAATAAATTTCACCAGCAAAAATTTCCCACAGGCCTAAAAAGAAACAATTTCTCAATTTCCTGTGATGTTTCACCCACTGGGAGCAGAGTCCGGCCAAACATTCTATTTTCCATTTTAAACCTTATTTACTTTATTCACTGCAAAATAAAGGGCTCCTTCAATAGCAAATGTAGTGCAGTGAGTTTAAAGGAGTTCTTCTTTTCAGCATCTCGACCAACAAAGACTCTAAATTATGAAATTAACCAATTAAATCCATCTCATCTTGAAGAAAGTTCAATCTTCCCTGACCAGAGAAGAGAAATGTAGGAAAAAGCAGCACATTAACAGATTAATAACTCTAAGATGGGGTCCAAACTAAATACAATAAATGGTAATAACGATTGCTTTTCAAACATCTCTCAAAGGAAATGGCTAATATTCACGGGGTTGAAAAGGAATATTTATGATGCAAGTGAGAGAATCAGAGGAAGGAGCAAGAAGCAGACAAGGTGGAAGCAATCTAATCTTCCTTGTGGGTGCAGAATTGCACAAATACTGAATGTCATTGCCAAAAGGGGTCTGATCTCCAGAGAATGCAGCTTCTGGATTTTTTTCTTTCTTTCAGTCTTAGAAAAATCATTTTAGTATATTAGGAGAAAAATCAGCTTTCCTCTCTTTCAACTCTGGATAAATTAAAATTTTCTGTGCTTGCAAACATTATTTCTTTGTGTTTTAAGGCAAGACTGACCACCCTCCACCCCCAAGGACAGCATCTCTCACACTGTAACTGAAGTTGATAGGAAAATAGGATTCCCTGATAGCCATGTACTTTACCTCCAGCATCTTATGGCCACACCCACTCCCTATAGGACACATAAAAGAGGATTCTCTGGGCTGTTTTGCTGCAGGGACATGTGGGCTAGACAGTGTTGAGCCCAGTGCAGACACTTAATAAGTGTTTGATTGACCAGCCATTGCTTGTAACCTCAAACAGAGAACCAGGAGGGCTGGTCACTGGAGTGAAGGGAAATGAGTGCAAAGGATCACTTTGTTAACAATACAGTCATCTCCTTTTCCCACTGACACATAATCCGGGTGAGCCATAGTGTGCTCCAAATTAATTCCAGTTGCTAAGGGCACAGAACAGTGTAGTCTAGGGCCAAGTTTCCACTTTAATTAAATCTTAATCTTTCACTTAAAGACACAACCTTTATGTAAGTCCCATGTTCACACTATGGGAAAGGGGCTTGCTCTGAATTAAACAGGTTCTGGAAATAATGATGGCAAGTGTCTTGGAATCTTCCTGGCCAACCTTCATTGTCTTCCTCCACTTCCTCCCTCAAAGTTCCAATGTGACTTGTACTGTTTTCTAAAGAAAGTAACACTGAACACGTCCACTGTAGCAAAATAAAGGAAAATATGTCTATTATGGCTGAAACTGCTAGCTGCTCTCTGAAAGCTTTTTCCCTCTTTTTTCCTAGGCCCCAGCTAAACTACACTGCCCAGCCTTCCCTGAAGTTGGGTGGGCCAGACAATTAAATTCTAGCCAATGGAAGGTGAACAGAGCAGGGGGTACCATTTCCAGGCTGGTCCATCACGACCCCCATGTAGCTATCCAAGATTTTCCTCTTCTTGTGCAGAAAGAAGACAATGCTGACAGCAAACCGGGAAGCTATGATTTGAAGATAAAAGATAAATTCTCTGCTAATTCTCCCAGTATTGTTTTGTGAATATAGAAGGAGTGGAAACCGAGTTATTCTACCTAAAAGCCAATGAAGCTGAGCTACTTATTCTC